GAAAGGGGGAACTGTTATAGATGTGGGAAACCTGTTCTGATCAGAGAGTCGGATATTAGAAAGGGGGAACTGTTATAGATGTGGGAAACCTGTTCTGATCAGAGAGTCGGATATTAGAAAGGGGGAACTGTTATAGATGTTATTACAACAGAGACTGTCATGAATCAACAGTTATTCAGACACCAAGGAGACAATGCCCCAAGGATAAGTCATTGAGCTGACCAAATCAAAGTAATAACAAAAGGCGAACCAGACAATGGAAAATGGGAATTAGCTGGAATTATGGAGTGATGTTCAGCTGAGAATACCACATCTATTCTAACTAAACTAAGAAGTTTATTGTGGGGTTATTAATGGGAAATCTTGTACTATGTTGGTCAACATTGGTTCTACAGTTACAATAGTTTGACCTGATTAGGTATTGAAAGATGACAAACTGCCTGTAGATGTGAAGATAGAATAATGCAAACAGCAAGAGAACATAAGGTTCTGGTAAGGGAAAAATTGGAAGTTACCCATACTGAAGAAAACTTCTGTGTTTCATGATGTGTGGGTGGGTAATTGACATCAGTGAAAACTACATATTGGAAACTGACTTCATGGAGAAACTTGAATACAAGGTTAGGCTAGCTTCAAATAGCTTTCCAGTCTATGATCAGGAAATCTCCAGGCACTACAAGGTACAATAGAGGTTAGAATTCATGGGACAACAAAGAGAGCAGTTATTATATTACCAATAAGTGAAGTACTCATACCAGGTCTTTTTAAAAATTCCCCTCAGGTCTAGTAACTGGGCTGTAATGGAACCAAACACTCAAGCATGTCCTCATGGATTAAAGGTCTATAGAACTCTTGTGGATTATAAATATATAATCTTTAGAGCCATGAAGAAACCAAACCATAAGATTCATGTCAAATCTGGATGGAACATTGCATGTTGGGAGTAACTCCTCATCAAAGAACATCAGGGAGTCAGTACAGATAGTAACTCCTCATCAAAGAACATCAGGGAGTCAGTACAGATAATAACTCTTCATCAAAGAACATCAGGGAGTCAGTACAGATAGTAACTCTTCATCAAAGAACATCAGGGAGTCAGTACAGATAATAACTCTTCATCAAAGAACATCAGGGAGTCAGTACAGATAGTAACTCCTCATCAAAGAACATCAGAAAAGATGTAGAAAATGTGATTTCAAACCCTTACATAGTGACAGTTTACCCACTCAATTACAAGAGTTATAAGACCAGAGCTGTGGATTTCAAACCCTTACATAATGACAGTTTACCCACTCAATTACAAGAGTTATAAGACCAGAGCTGTGGATTTCAAACCCTTACATAATGACAGTTTACCCACTCAATTACAAGAGTTATGAGACCAGAGCTGTGGATTTCAAACCCTTACATAATGACAGTTTACCCACTCAATTACAAGAGTTATGAGACCAGAGCTGTGGATTTCAAACCCTTACATAGTGACAGTTTACCCACTCAATTACAAGAGTTGTAAGACCAGAGCTGTGGAGGTCTTACAAAGGATCAGTGCCAGCAGTTACTTATATTGGTCACATAATATTAAGACATCTTCTCCATTGGACCTCATGACTTTGGCCAAACAACTAAAGTATCTCTGAAGATTAATACTGGAGATGCAGCCCCAATATACCATTTAACCAGGTGACTTCCATTTGAAAAACAGGGTGAGTTTGAAACATTCCGTCATCTCCACAACCTTCCAGTGGCTGGACATGTAGGTGTAAAGACCCTGGAGCAAGTAAGAGAATGCTTCTACAGGTTTTGGTACCAGGGATCTGTGGAGAGTTGGTGTAAAACACGTGAGCTCTGCTGTGAGCGAGAAGGTCCATGAAAGAATGGAGCAAGTAAGAGAGTGCTTCTACAGGTTTTGGTACCGGGGATCTGTGGAGAGTTGGTGTAAAACACGTGAGCTCTGCTGTGAGCGAGAAGGTCCATGAAAGAAACAGCATGGGCAGTTGGAGCAGTACTATGTTGGAGAACCAATTGAGAGAGTAACAATGAAAATAGATACATCATGGTTGTGATGGACTATTTGGTTAGAAGCATTTGTTGTTCCTAACCAGTAAGCAGACAGTTTTAAAGAACTTGTCAACAAATTTGTCTCAAGATTTGGTGGTGCCTATGGAATGCCAATCAGATCGGATATGGAACTATGAATTAAATTTGCTTGCCAAAATGTATCCTTGGGAGTAAAAAGATCAGGACAGTAATCTCTCATCCATCTTCTGATGATGTGGTGGAGAGATACAACTGCACACTGTTAAATCAGTTAGTCGTCGTGTATATTGATGAACATCAGAAAAGGTGAGATCAAGATCTTCCACTATTACTGAAGATACCAGCAACACCTCAGCATATCTGATGTTTGGTAGAGAACCTGAAGTGTCATTGGATCTTCTGTATTCTTGTCCATAGAATAGTTACTCGGAAATCTTACATAGAATAAGTAGAGAGATTAAGGAACACCATCAATAATGTATATGATAGTGATAAAATGTATAGTTTGTTTGTATAGTTTACATTTCTGCTTTTCCAAAGGGATTTTATCCACATTCTGACAACATATATGTAGTTTGTTGTACACATTGTACATTTCAGTAAATATTTTCCTGAATATTAAAGCTGTATATATATATCTGTCTGTCCGTGTAAATGAAAATAATTTCTCACTGGTTATTGTTCTATAGTTTAAAGAAATTATTTATGTATTTCCTCAATAATATATATATATGTTTTATTAAAATATGCTTTTTTGTTTGTTTATATATCTTAAAATCAGTTTACATCTTCAATTATGCATCCATTTCTTTCAGATGTTCGAAGATGCTTTGGATGAAGGGGCTTCATCGTAAGTGATATCCTGTGTTTGTTTCTGTGTTATATATTCAATTCATATCTATCTAATATAGAGGGGGCTTCATCGTAAGTAATATCCTGTTTCTGCATTATTTATTCACTTCACATTTGTCTAATATAGAAGATTGAAGGGGCTTCATCGTAAGTAACATCCTGTGTCTCTTTCTGTGTTATTTATTCACTTCACATTTGTCTAATATAGAAGATTGAAGGGGCTTCATCGTAAGTAATATCCTGTGTCTCTCTCTGTGTTATTTATTCACTTCACATTTGTCTAATATAGAAGATTGAAGGGGCTTCATCGTAAGTAACATCCTGTGTCTGTTTATGTGTTATTTATTCACTTCTCATTTGTCTAATATAGAAGATTGAAGGGGCTTCGTCGTAAGTAATATCCTGTGTCTCTTTCTGTGTTATTTATTCACTTCACATTTGTCTAAATATAGAAGATTGAAGGGGCTTCATCGTAAGTAATATCCTGTGTCTGTTTCTGTGTTATTTATTCACTTCATAACTATCTAATATAGAAGATTGTGTGTATATGTACATATTATAATTTAATTCTAAATCAAACTTGTTTTTAAGAGTCAATGTTTTATACTTATCCAGCTCCTAAGTTTAAAGGAATACTCCAAGTAGTTTTCACTTGCCCATACAATCCAGATTGTAGCGTTTCGGCAAGATTGACACATTATTATACAGACACTGCTTAATGTACGTTTTTGCAAGATTGACATGTTATTATATAGACACTGCTTAATGTATGTTTCTCCAAGATTGACACGTTATTATATAGACACTGCTTAATGTATGTTTCTCCAAGATTGACACGTTATTATATAGACACTGCTTAATATTTTGAGATGCAAACTCTCATCATGCCTGTAGTTTTTGACTGATCAAAGTTAAATCCTTGAGGATACTTGAAGCATCATATGGATGTTAGTGTTCATTCTGACCACTATGTCACAATCTACCAATCACAGTTGGACTTGGTGTATACTCTTAGTGGTCAGCATTTGGGTCTTACTACCCTATGTCACTCTCTCTAGTGTCCTATAGTGTGTCCTGTACAATTCTGTTAATTGGGTCCAAAGATACCCTAATAAGTAACATAGTTAGTTAACATAATATTTTGGGACAACATGGGACCTATTGGTCCATCTTGGCTCTTCCATCCTCTAAACTAAATTTAAATAATTAAAATATAAAATCTTAAAGCCAGCCCTTATCATTCATATACTCATAAGGCTTTTTCTTAAGCTCACCTAAATTTACTGCCTTTACAACATCTCAAGGCAACCCATTCCAAAGGCCAACTACCCTGTTAGAAAAATAAAACTGAGAATAGTAGGACTAGGGAACACAAATATAAATTTTGGCAAGGTAGGAGTCATCTTCAGCTGAGACATTGTTAAATATAAAAAAGATGATACATCAACACCATCAATTCCCTTTACAATCTTAAACACCTCAACCAGATCCCCCCCCCTTAACTCTTCTTTTTTCAAGAGAAAACGATGAGATTTCAGCCTCTTGTCATATGA